CCCCGCTGATCCCATGAGGAATGGGATCCACAGCAGCAGGGCCAGCAGGGCCGGGTGCCCCACAGCACTCCCCATCCTGGAACTTGGGATCTGTGGGGACAGCGATGTGGGGGTGCTGGGAGGGGGAAACCCCGCTGATTTTGGGGTTCACTTGCTGGTTTTGGGGTCCCCCAAGCAGCAGGAGAGGCTGAAGGCCCCACAGCCCGGTTCCATGCCCCCCCCCAGCACAGGCCTGGGTGTCCCGGCTATTTTTGGGATCGACACGAGTCAGCGGGACACAGCCAAGGGCACCGGGCCTGGCTGGGAAGGGGGGGCACCCCTTCCCAAAGCAGGGAGCGGGGCGCTCCAGGGTGGGACACTGCCACCCCCGGGATCCCCCGTGCTCCCCACTTCTCCCCAATCCCCCCGGGATCTCCCCAGTCCCACTGTGCCCCGCCCCGCCCAGTTCCCCCCGGGGCTTCCCTGGGCTCCGCCGCGGGGCACGCCGGGAGCTGTAGTCCCGGGGACGGCCGCCGCGCATGCCGGGAGCGCGGTCACCATGGCAACAGCCGGAGGCGGGCGGCGGCGCGCGGTGCACGCCGGGAAGCGCGGTTCCCGCCGGCGGGGGGAGCGCGGGGGATGCCGGGAGCGCTTCCGGTTCCGGCGGCGGCGGCGCCCGCGTGAGCGCTCGGGAGCGGCGCGGGGGCCGCGCGCGCCAACCGGAACCGGAACCGGGACCCCGGACCGGAAAGGAGAACCGGAAACAGCCTCGGAAGGGCAGCGGGGCCGTAACCGGAGCGCCGCGACCCCCCGGCCTCCGCCATGGCGCTCATCTGCTCCAGTGAGTGCGGAGAGAGCGCGGCCGCGGGAGTGCGGGGGGGGAGCGTTACCGAATGGGGGATCCCGGGCTGCGGGTCGGGGACGGCCGGGGTCACCGGGGGATCACCGGGCAGGGGGTTCCCAAACCCCCGTTCCCGTCCCCGTCCCATCCTGTCCTTCCCTGTCCCCCGCAGTTTCCAACGAGGTCCCGGAGCACCCGTGTGTGTCGCCGGTGTCCAACCACGTGTACGAGCGGCGGCTGATCGAGAAATACATCGCGGAGAACGGCACCGACCCCGTCAACAACCAGCCGCTGTCCGAGGAGCAGCTCATCGACATCAAAGGTGCCGGGACCGGGATGGGAAAGGCTCTCCCGGGAACGGCGGTTCTCCCAGGAAAAGCGGCTCGGGGGTCGGGAATGGCGGTGCCCGAGGTGTTTCGGGGTTTGCTGAGGTGCCAAACTCAGCAGTGGAGGCTGGGAAGGAGAGGGGTAAAGCAGGGATGGTGAAACGGGAAAGGCCGGGGATGGGGGTGTGGCGATCCACGGGGATATCGGGGACACGGATGACGCGTCCATCTTCCTTCCAGTCGCCCACCCGATCCGGCCCAAACCCCCCTCGGCCACCAGCATCCCGGCCATCCTGAAAGCCCTGCAGGACGAGTGGGTGAGTGCCGGGGGGCGCTGCCGGGGCTGGCATCCCGCCGCTCCCGGGCTGACTGGGGCGCTTCCCGGCAGGATGCCGTGATGCTGCACAGCTTCACGCTGCGGCAGCAGCTGCAGACCACGCGCCAGGAGCTGTCCCACGCCCTGTACCAGCACGATGCCGCCTGCAGGGTCATCGCCCGCCTCACCAAGGAGGTCACCGCCGCCAGAGAAGGTGACACGGACGCACGGCGTTCCCGGGAAGGGGCGCTGGGAAGTGCTTTATCCCGGTTTTCCTTCAAACGCGTTGTGTTTCCGCAGCTCTGGCCACGCTGAAGCCTCAGGCCGGGCTCATCGTGCCCCAGGCGGTGCCGTCAGCGCAGCCCAACGTGGCCGTGAGTCCTGCTCCCCATCGCGGACCTTTTCCCGCTCGTTCCCAACCCTTTCCCCACTCTTGGCTCCCAAATTCCCTCTGTCCATGTGCCTTCTCTCTGTGCCACAGGGCGCTGGCGAGGCCATGGATCTGGGAGAGCTGGCGGGAATGACCCCGGAGATCATCCAGAAGGTAGGGGCAGTGTTCCATGTGTTCCCCTTTCCATCTCCCCATCGCAGAATTCCCGCTCTGTGCCCACCCTCCTCTTGTTTTCCAGCTCCAAGACAAGGCGACGGTGCTGACCACGGAGCGTAAGAAGGTGAGTGGCCTTATCCAAGGATTTGGAGGGAGCTGGGATGTGCTGTGCTCCAGCCAAGGCTGATGTTTATCCCTGTTTTTTCCAGAGGGGCAAGACGGTCCCAGAGGAGCTAGTGAAGCCAGAGGAGCTCAGCAAGTACCGGCAGGTGGCCTCACATGTGGTGAGTGCCAGGCTGGGGAAGGACTGGGAAACTCCCACATGGAGCTGGGAATCGCTTTTTGATTCCTTTTGGGAGGGTTTTGCTCCTTGTGGCATTAACTTGGGGTTCTCCTCCCTCACACAGGGGCTGCACAGCGCCAGCATCCCAGGAATTCTTGCCTTGGATCTGTGTCCTTCCGACACCAACAAGATCCTCACTGGTAAGGGAGCTTTCCTGGGGATTTCCCACCTGGGAGTGGATCTCTGTGTTTTTGGGAATTTGAAGAAGGGACATAAGGCAGGTGCATTTGGAGTTGGTTGGCCCCACACTCCCATCCCAGCGCTTCCCGCTCGGTTTTCCAGGTGGAGCCGACAAAAACGTCATCGTGTTCGACAAGAGCTCGGAGCAGATCCTGGCCACGCTCAAGGGCCACACCAAGAAAGTCACCAGCGTCGTCTTCCACCCGTCCCAGGTGCGCCTGCCTCTTTCCTCGCTTCCAGCATGCCTCAAGTGTGGATATCAGGATCCTCCTCTGGTGGAGTCTCCTGCTGGGAGCTCTCGGAGAGGTGAGTTCTTCCCGTGTGAACCTTCTGGTGTTGTCCTTCCATAGGACTTGGTCTTCTCGGCCTCTCCCGACGCCACGATCCGGATCTGGTCCGTTCCCAACGCCTCCTGTGTCCAGGTGGTCCGTGCCCACGAGGGCTCCGTGACCGGGCTCAGCCTCCACGCCACGGGTGATTACCTGCTCAGCTCCTCGGATGACCAGGTGAATCCCTCCCCATCCCACAGCTCCCGCCTTTGCTTCCCACCCCTCCCGTTCCAACGCTCTTCCTCTCTCCCAGTACTGGGCTTTCTCGGATATCCAGACGGGCCGTGTCCTCACCAAGGTGACGGATGAGAGCTCTGGATGTGGTAAGCTTTGAAGTTGATTTTCCCCACTCTGGGTGTCCCTTGGCTCCTGGAGTTCATGGGAACTCCTTTGGAGTGATCTTGGTAGCCTTGCCAACCTTCCTGAGTCTTCCCAACCCTTCCAATCTCATCAACCTTCTTAAGTGTTCCCAGCTTTCAAAATATTCCCAACTCCGTGTGTCTTCCCAACCCTCTGAGTCTCGCCAACCTTCTTGAGTCTTCCCAATCTTCCCAACCCTCTTGAGAGTCTTCCCAGCCCTCTTGGGAGTCTTTCCAAGTGTCTGATTCTCCTGCTGTCTCCACAGCTCTCACCTGTGCCCAGTTCCACCCGGATGGGCTCATTTTTGGGACAGGAACAATGGATTCCCAAATCAAGATCTGGGATCTGAAGGTAAGGGCTGATGGGAATGTGTGGGAACAGGGATTTGGGGGTGTTCTGAGCTTAGTTTGGGGATCAGTCCAAGGAGCAGGACTTTGAGGAATGTTATTGGAGGTTTCTCCAAAAATCCCAAGATCCCAGCTGCAGAGCAGCCGCTGGTGACACCGTGAGTGTTGGGAACGATGCCGCATGCCAGCGCTGTGATTCCCTCTGACCGCCTTGTCCCCAGGAACGCACCAACGTGGCCAACTTCCCGGGACACTCCGGCCCCATCACCAGCATCGCCTTTTCCGAGAACGGATACTACCTGGCCACGGCAGCCGACGACTCCTCGGTCAAGCTCTGGGATTTGAGGAAGCTCAAGAACTTCAAGACGTTGCAGCTGGATAACAACTTCGAGGTGTGTGGTGTCCCTTTTCCCCCACGGCCTCTCTGCTCCAGGGGTTGTGGCATCCCAGGAAAGCCATTTGGAGCTTTTTCAACACCTTGTTGTGATTCTTCTCCACAGGTGAAATCCCTGATTTTCGACCAGAGCGGGACCTACCTGGCGCTGGGCGGGACCGATGTCCAGATCTACATCTGCAAGCAGTGGACGGAGATCCTCCACTTCACAGGTGAGGGATTCTGGGAATCACGGAAGTGGCTGGGGCGGGAATGGGACAAATCCAGTCGGAATTGTGACCATGGATTGTTTTCTGTCCCCAGAGCACAGTGGTCTGACCACAGGAGTGGCCTTTGGCCACCATGCCAAGTTCATCGCTTCCACAGGCATGGATCGGAGCCTCAAGTTCTACAGCCTGTAGCCCTGGAAGTGGGGCTGGGATTTTTTGGGATTCAGGGTGGGAGGTGGGTGGGAATATCCAGGTGGGATTATCAAGCTCCCCTGTTGTAGCTGTTGGTGTAAGGGAAGTCAGACATTGCCTTCCCCGTGCTCCATGAATTTACTGTTTAGTTTTTTTCCCAATGCTGTGTGTTTTCCGCCTTTAGATTGTTTTGTGTAACTGGTTTGACAAAAAACCCTAATCCCGTTGCTGGTGGAAGTTTGAGGTCGGGATGTGTGTGGAAGGAGGGAGGGAAGAGAGGACTGTGCAGTTTTGTAAGCAGTTACTTAGTTTCAGTATGGAAATAAAGAATTATTCCCTGTCATCCCAGCTGGAAAAGGCTCCTGTGAAGGGTGGTGGTGTAGCAGGGTGGGATTTGGGGGTCTGTGGCTGCTGCCAGCTTGGGAATGGGGATGAAGGATCCTCTTTCCTCCCCTCTCAAGGACAAACCACCCTTAGAGCCATGTTTTGCACTGGTTTTATTTATCCAGCCTTCCCAGAGACATCCATCAGCATCCAGGTAGAGGCTGTGAGGAGGAAGAGGGGGAGTAGATAACTTAGAGGGATGAAGGGGTGTTTGGGATGAAGGGATTTTTGGGGAGCAGAAGGCACTCACTCCTCAGCCTCTCTGCTGACTTCCCCCTCTCTTGGGAACCTCAGGAAACACAAGGCATCCCTGGGATGTGACTGTCCCCATGCTGTCACCTGTCCTCCTGTTCCCTGGAGACCTCCGTGCTCCTGTGGGGAACAGCAGGTTGGCTTGGGAAGAGGGGAACATGTAGAGGTCTTCCCAAAAGCCTGGAGGCTCCCAGACTCACGTGAGGGCACTCCCAGCTGGCAGGAGGGCCGGCAGGGCTCCGGCTGGGCCAGGTGGCACACGGAGGCACTGCAGGAGATGTACACCTGGGAGCCACAGGAATGCCAGTGTCACCTGGGCATCCCCAAAAAGAGTCCCCAAGCCTGAAGAGACCCCCAAAAGGCGTCCCCAAGCCATGAGGAACCCCCCAAAAGCAGCATGAGCTTCCCAACAGGAAGAGACTGTGGGCAGCTGGAAGCAGGGTCAGTGCTGGGGTGGGTTTGGGGATGTTGGGATGAGAGATTCCCAACACTGAGGCATTCCCAACACGGATTCAAGGGAATCCCCCTCACCTCCCCCTCCAGCACAGCCATTCCAGGGGGCTCCACAAAGGCGAAGGTGGAGATGACAAAGCGCTGGTAGTGGCTCGGGAAGGGCAGCTCCGGAGAGGCTGGACCCATCGGAATCAGCCGTGTCCTGTAGTTGTCCCCTTGGAAGGGACACCTGGGTGGGAAGCAAGGACACTGTGTCAGCACAGTGACCCCCTCACTTCCATCTTCCCATCCTTTTCCACTCACCCTTCCACCAGGATGGGCCACTGGGGCTGGGATGTGGCGTGGGAGCCAGGGGAGGCCCAGCAGTGGTGCAGCACCAGCACCAAATTGGGATCCGTCTTCTGGAGCAGCCGGACTTCCACGTAAATGGGGTCCCGGAGCACCCTCACCAGGGGGAAGTCACCCACAGCGTGGTAGGAGCTGTAGGATTCATCTGTGGGAATGTTGGGAGGGTTTGAGTGGGATGGGGAGCGGAATGGGGAGCGGGATAGGGAGCACTCACCGGTGGCAATCCGCAGCTGGAGCCCCAGCGGGCCCAGCATGGCCAGGGGGGCGGCTGTGGGGGGCACGGCCACCTCCACTCCCAAGGGAAGGAGGTCGCTGGAGTTGTAGATGCACCGAGCTCGGAGACTGGGGAAAAGAGGAAGAGAAAGGTGGGAGACTCCCAAATCCTCTATCAGCCCCCTCAGCCCAAGTTGTGGGGACACCACCAGGGACAGGGCAGCGGTGAGGGTTGGTTTGATCCAAGGGGGAATCCAGGCTCTCTGCCTCGATTTTTCCACCCTCTTCCCTTACATGTAGACGCTGTCCCGAGTGATGGAGCCACGGGGGGATCCCCGGACATCGATGGTGGAGATCAGCTGGTTCTCATAGATCAGCATGTCCTCGATCGCCTGTGTAGGGAACACTGGAATGGGAAACATCCTGGGGGGTGCACGGATCAGGACTTGAGGCAGGAGGCAGCACATGGGTGAGTTCTTTATCCTGAAGTTTTGGAGGGACTGGGAGCATCCTTGGGGGCACTTCTCTCCTGAAGTGACCCCACCATACCCACCTGGGGGCTCTGTGGGGTTTTCCTGCCCTACCTGGACCGTGGTGCCGCAGTGGGTGACCGGGAAGCGGAACATGACGAAGGCCTCGGACACGCGGCGGGGCTCACATCCCGCCTGGCTGCTGGCCAGCCGCACGCTGTCCAGGTTGTACGGCAGGGCCACCATTCCCCGCGGGACCACCAGGACAAAGTGTCCCTCCAGCAGGCACTGCACGGTGGCTGCGATACCACGGAGAGGCTCCGTCACTCTGAACACCCTCTCCTGGCCCTGGGGAGGGATTTTGGGACGTGCCTCCGGGTGGCCTACCGGTATTCCCGTAATAGCAGGGTGTGGTACGGTCCATGTCGTCGTAGCAGCATCCCGCCTGCACGCACGCATCCCGCCCTTGTGGAGCCACGCACGGCATCCGGCCCACCGGCACCTGGCACTGCTCCCGTGTCAGCTGCATTCCTGGGGGGAAGCAGCAATGTGGGTTGAGCACCTTGAGGCTTTTCCCTTTGTCCCAGCATCCCATCTTCCCGCCTTACCTGCCCCTGGCGAGGGGTAGAAGAGCGCTGTGGACTCCAGCAGGTCGGGCTGGGAGTGAATCCCAGGATGCAGCAATCCAGGCTGGGGCCGCAGCCCAGGGCGTCCCAGGCCTGGCTGGGGCTCAGCCTGGAGCCCAGGGCTGATGAAACCTGGCCAGGATGAGAGTCCTGGGTGCACCAAAGCTGGGCTGGGATGGCCAGGATGGAGCAGCCCAGTGTGGCCCGGGAGCCCAGTGTGGGAGTTGGAGTGATGACTGGGATGAGATACTCCCGGCTGGTTTAGGGGCTGAGCTCCCGGGCGCAGGAATCCTGCTGGAGTCTGGGCACCAGTGGAAGTCAAGCCAGGCTGGTTGTGGGATACAAACCCTGGGCGAATCCCTGGCTGATTTTGACCCCCATGATGCATCATTCCAGGCTGGTTTTGGGATACAGCCCCTGGGCGAATCCCTGGTTGGTTTTGACCCACGGAATGCATCATCCCTGGCTGGTTGTGGGATACAGACCCTGGTTGGTTTTGACCCCTATGATGCATCATTCCAGGCTGGTTTTGGGATACAGACCCTGGACGCAGGTGCCCCGGCTGGGTCTGACCCCCGTGATGCGCCAGACTGGGATGGTTTTGGGACACAAGCACTGGGCGAAGCATCCCTGGCTGGCTCTGTCCCCCAGACTGGGGGGGCTGCACTGCTGGGCGGAAGAAGCTTCCCTGGATTTGGGTGACAGGATGAGCCCCACCAGGCTGGGGCAGAAGCCCCGAGTGGGCTGGATTGGAATGGTGCTGGATCCCAGGAAGCACTGAGCTGGGCTGGTAGTGTCCCACGGTGTGAACCTGCTCCAGGTGATCTTGGGATGTGAAGTGGGATCCCGTAAGGGTTAGGGAGGACTCGGAGACCTGGTGCAGGCCGGTGTGGGAGATCAGGACTCCGCTGTCCCGGGTCTTCTCCCGGGTTCCATCTGGGAGCATCTCAGAGCCACCTGGCTTGGGGCAGGTCATGTTGACCTCGTAGGAGGTGACGGGGATCCCGCTGGACAGCAGCTCCTCCAGCTGCACCCGCAGGACGTAGCGGTTCTCCTGAGGGGGGACACGAGGGACAGTCACCCCCATCCTGCTGGAAGGGACCGCGGAGGGGACAGGAGCGTCACCTTGAACAGGACGTGGCAACCCTTGTAGCCAGAGGAGAAGATGACAGAGCCGTCCTCCCTGGAATTCAGCCAGTGGAGGCAGATGGAGCAGTTGGCCACGTCAAAGCGGGAGCCAAACTCATCTGGGGGGACACCATGGACACGGGGAAGTGACACATCCTGGGGCATGGAAACCACCCCGGCCAGCAGCAACAGCTCATCCAAGCCAATGGGCTCATCCCACTGGCATACCATCACCATGGAACACTCCAGGACTGAGGGGAATCCCAGAGAAATCCAGCACCCCAAGGAGATCCAGGATGTCCCCCCACTCACCCAGAACTTTGAAGCGGACGGTGCGGCCATGGGACGGGAAGACCAGGAGCTGCATTCCCAACTCCCCACAGTCGTGGCGGTACTGCAGGAGTGCCACGGTGGCTCTGGGCCACGGCGACAGGAGGAAGAGGAGCAGGAGGAAGGAGCAGCTCCGTCCCATGGCGGTGACACAGATGGAGCACGGGGCTCCGCGGTGTGGATTTATATCCAGATGGCTGGGATGCGGGGGGGGATCAGGATCAGCTGATCCCGTGGGATGAGCTCTGCCCAGGGCTCCTCGCTCCTGTGCTGCTGGTGACCTCAGTGCCCCAGCCCTGTGGTCACCTCCTGTGGCTGTGTCACGGTGACCAGGGACAAACCAAGCTTATCCCACACTTGGAGGCTGTCCCAGTGAACAGGGAATGGAACTGGTGCCAGGCGGGATGCCCAGCTGGATCAGCTTATCCAGGGGGAAAGGAGAAGGCTGGTGTGTGCCCACCTCCCCAGAGCTACTGGGGACAGCGGTGACATCTGGACATGCCACTCCCGGAATAGCCACGGGACCAGGGGACACAGTGGCACAGCCCCAGTGGCATCTGAGGGATTGGAAATCAGCCAGTTACCCCAAATCCCTGCTTGCTGTTGTGCCCTGCTGACAGTGCCACCAGGAATCCAAAGTCCTCCATGTGTATTCCCTTTCCCCAAGTCTCCCTTCTGGGATTTATCTTTAGTGCAGATTAAACTCCATCACCCCTCCCCACCCTTCCCAGAGTTACGGTCACGGCCACTCCCTGTCCCATGCCCTGGGTGTGGGAATGGGGTCACGCCAGCTCCCTGCAGCCTCGGGATCCCTGCCGGAGGGCGTGAGGAGCCAGAGGCTGGATGTGATTCCCTCAAAGCTCCTCTGGAAGTGAGGGCAACTGCAGAGAGAGCAGTGTGACCCCAGAACCACAGCTGGGCTGATAGATGGCCAATATATGCTCTATATGTGCCCCATGTGTGTCCTACACATACATACATATATATATATATATATGTCTTGATGTCTAATATCTTTTATATATGTGCTATATGTGTCCAATATGTCTGAGCTGTCTGTTCTGTATCCTATATGTGTTCCATATGTATCCAATACATATCCTATACATATGTCCAATATATACCTGATCTATGTCCAATAGATCTATCCCACATGTCCAATATACGTCCTGTATATATCTGATGTATGTCCCATATGTATCCAATATATGTCTGATGTATCTCCCACGTATCTCCAATAAATCTCCTAAATCTGTGTCCCACACATCATCCCCCAGGAGCACAGGCAGGAGCCACCAGTGGTGACACTTTATTCCCCGCAGTGACAATCCCGGTGACCACAACCCCTTTTCCCCACCCCTCACAGCTTCATGGCAGCAACCGACCCCAGATGGAGCTCCAAGAACTGCAGGATCTCCTGCCAGGAATGTTCCTGGGCCCGGGCATGGGGCTGGAGCTCTCCCCCCCACGCCACCGGCTTGGGAGTGCCCCGGATGCTGGAGTTGCTGCACAGGGGGGATCCGGGGGGCTCGATCAGGTGCCCGGCGCCGGGATAGGACAGGATCCGGCCGCTCTCCGGCGGCATCCGCGCCAGGGCCAGCTCGGCGAAGAGCTTGCTGTTGAAGCTGCGGTCGGCCTCTCCCACCACGAACAGTACCTTTCCCCGGATCTTCTCCACCGGGATGGCCGAGGCCTGGCGGGCGGGATCCCGGGGGTCGGTGAAGATGGCCGAGTTGTCCATGGCTCCCACCTCGGTGAACAGGACGCGCTCGGTGTAGTAGGGAATGGCAGGGATGCGCAGCTCCTTATAGACCAGCGGGTTTCCATACAGGAAGCTCGTACCGTTGATCCACACCGTGGCCACCACCTGTGGCAGGAAGGTGGCCATGGCCAAGGCCACCTCCGCACCTTTGGAGACTCCCACCACGCCCAGGCCGGGGCCTCGGACCTGAAGCAAGAGGAGATGGAACCAGCTGGGATAATACACAGGGATAATACATTTACTGGGACATCCCTGGGTGCCAGGACAAGGATGTCCTCATGGGATATCTCCTAGTCCCTGGGACATTCCTGGTGTCGGGACAACCCTGGGACATTACCCCTGGCAACCTGGACATCCTGCTCACCAGGATGAGGATGGCTCCAGGACATTCCTGGTCCCCAGGACAATCCGTGGTCACCTGGGTGTCCGGCTCACCAGGTTGTCCTCAGTCCCCAGCACATCCTGGCTGACAGGTGCCTTTCTCCACACTCCAGGACTCACCTTGGGATGCCGGAGGAGCAGCTCTGCCGCTTCCTCGAAGTATTCCAGGTCCAGCTGTGCCAGGACTCGGGGCAGGTCGTCGTAGGCGAAGAAGGCGAGGGCCAGCACGGCAAAGCCCCGGCTGGCCAAGAGCCCTGCCCGGAACTCAATCAGCCCCCCCGCACCCCCAAACAGGTCGATGACTCCGGGAAAGGGGCCCGGACCTGTGGGAAGACCAGAAGAATGTCAGGGATGGGGAGCCACCCATGCTGTCCTGCATCCCAGAGGTTCCATGGCTGGGCATCCCAGGGGGCACGAGGTCCAGTATCCTGGGGGTCCTAAGATCCTAAGGTTTGATATCTCAAGGATCCCAAGGCTGGACAACCCAGGAATCCCAACTTTGGGCATCCCAGGGGTCCTGTGATTTGTTATCCCAGGGCTTCCAGGGATGGATAACCAGGAATCTTATGGTTTAGCATGCCAGGAGTCCCAGTGCTGTTTCCCACGGGTCCTGATGTTTGGCATCCCCAGGATCCCAAGAGGCTGGACAACCCAGGAATCCCAACTTTGGGCATCCCAGGGGTCCTGTGGTTTGTTATCCCAGGGCTTCCAGGGCTGGATAATCCAGGAATCTTATGGTTTAGCATCCCAGGAGTCCCAGTGCTGTTTCCCACTGGTCCTGATATTTGGCATCCCCAGGATCCCAACGTTCAGTATCAGTAGGCAGGGCTCCCAAGAGAATACTGGCTGGATATCCCAGGGGTCCCAAGACTGGACACCAAAGGGCTCCCAAGAACAAACACCCTGCCAGTCCCAAGGTTCGATATCCCGGAATTCCCCGCTCCCCAGTGCTCACCAGGAGGCAGGAACAGGGCGCCACGGACCCTTCCCTCACGGATGGGCACCCGCTGCACTCCGGGGCCCACGTACCAGCGCTCGGCCTCGCAGGATCCCAGCGGCTGCTCCCGCGGATCCGTGCCCAGGCTGAGCCCGTCGAACACTTCCAGCCGGACGCGGAAGGGGCTGCCGGCCACATCCCGCTTGACCAGCCGGCGGAAAAGGGTGTCAGGCTGCAGGAACCAGAAGAGCCCCATGGGCCAGACCCCAGAGTAGCTGCCCCCCAGGGCGGCATGGAGCCCGGGATCCACCTCTCCAGCTCCGTCAGCGCGGAAAAAGGCGCGGGATTGGAAGCACTCGCCCTGCTCGTCCTTCAGCCACGCCCGGAGGGTGACAAGTTGGGATGGGGACAGTCCCCGCACGCGGATCTGCACCGGCCGGTCGGCCAGCGAGGACTGCGGTGTCACTGTCACCTCCACCATGGTGCACCTGGGGATGGGAATCACCCTGAGTGTCCCACAGGGATTGCCACGCCCAGGAGGGGGCTGGTGGCGGGGGCCTGTCCCCAGGGATCCCCATGGGGGACCCCCAGGATGGGGTTTGTGGTCCAGACAGTTCTGCTGGCATCCCTCCTTCCCTGTCCCTATCCCTGTTTCCCATGTCCCCATCCCCTCGTGGTCCCTGTCCCTTCTTTCCTGGTTCCTGTCCCCTCCTCCTTCCCCGATCCTCTGCTTCCCTGTCCCCATCCCCTCCCTTCCTCACCACCTCCCCCCCCTCTGACCCCCAACCCCTGCTCCAAAACTCACCCAGCAGCCGGGACACCCCTTTTCCATGTGTCTCCCAGCCCAGCCATTCCCAGCACCCTCTGTCCCCCCTCCTTATCCCCCTCCCCACCCCGGAGCAGGGTGGGGATCCAGGGGCTCCGAGCCCCCAGTCCGCACGCACCCCGCTCCCTCTCCGGGCAGCGCGGCAGGCTGGGAACAGGGATGTTGGCCCCCGTCCAGCCCGGGGAGGAGACACGTGGCTCTCCCACAGCCGTCCCACCAGGAAATCGGCCCCCAAGGGCCCGAGCTTCTTCCCTTTCTCTTACCCCGCCGGGCAAAGCCTGAGCCGTGGGCTCTGCAGAGGGAGACGCTCGAGGATTCCTTGGAAATCATTAACCCGGGAATGGCGAGGGCAGAGCCCTCCTGCCCCATGACCCCGTGCCCGCCTGGCACCGGCCACACCCCAAAATTCCTGCTAGTCCCCACTTTCCCTGTGGCACCACCCCCACCCTGGACACGGGCGGGACACACCCCACTCCAATTCAGGGCCCCCCCAAAACTGTCACGCCAGGATGAAGCTCCAGGGCCCCATATTCCCATCCCAGGGCTTCGCACTGATTCCTGCAATCCCATTTTCCACCCAGTGCACCCCTTTGTGCCCCCATCCCCTCCATCCCAGCTCACAGCCACATCCCTCCCCAGGAATGCAGAAAGGGGTGTCCACAGACCAAGAAAAACCAGGAATGTTAAGAAATAAGAAATCCATGTAAATTTCCAATTGATAGCCCCCACCGAATTCCCAGTGTTGCCCCCCACAGAAGGGTGTGTGACACTGTGCCCCCTTCCTTGCTGACAGGTTCCAGGGCTCATTCTCAGTGGGAATTCCCTCTTTGGGGAAAAGGCAACTGCAAGGAACACTAATCCCAGGAATGCCTTAGGGAAGGCTCCAGCTGGAGCCTTCAGTCCCCAGAGCCAGTGGAGGCGAATCTGTCTCAGTTCCTATTCATTTTTATAAGAAAAAGGCAAATTTGGGAAAGCAAAGTTCTGTTCCACATCCTGATTCCACAGGGATTGGGGGATCCAGCAGCTGGTGCCTGTGGAATGCACCCCCTCAGCTCTGTCCTGTTGTTTGTCCAACACTGAGGGTCCTGGCAGCGATTCCTGCCTGGCAAGCCGAGGAAAAACCGCTGGGAAGGAGCAGGATCCTCGTGGCAGCATCCCAAATCCTGCCTCATTCCGTGCTGCGCCTCATGGGCGTCTTCTGGAGCAGGGCCAGCGTGTCCCGCTTCTCCACCCGCCTCAGCTGCTTCTTCTTGGCCCTCCTGAGCTTCAGGGGGTTCCGGATCTGGGAAACGGGAAAAGAGGGGAGATTTCATGGAATCATAGGAGCCCAGAATGGTTTGGGAGGGAAGGGGCCTTAGGGATGATCCAGTTCGCCCCCCGGCCACGGGCAGGGACACTTTCCACTGGTGCAGGTTGCTCCAAGCTCCGTCCTGGAGCATTTCCAGGAGTGCAGCAGAGTGTGGGAATGAGGCAGGATGGGCATGGATGGCTCCCAGCCTCCCACCACCTTCAGGATCTGGGAAGGGATTTATCCCAACACTAACCACATCCTCACCCACAGGTGAGCTCTTCACCACACCCACCCCGAGCTCCCAGGTCTCTTCCCGATGGAAAAGCCAAGATTTCCCCACATGGATCCCCACCAGTGCCGCATTTCCCTCGCTCCACCACCCCATTATCCCTCAGTTCTGGTGTTCCCCAGCCTGGGAGAGCACAGGGGACACACATCCAGCCTGCCCAGATCCTCCCAGGATCCTCCAAAGACGGAGACAGGGAGAGGAACCGGAGCAAACTGGAGCTGATCCATGGGGCTGGAGGTTGTGGGGCGCTCGCAGGGCTGTTCCCAGCTGGCACAGGGCACTCACCACTTGGACAATCTCGGCTTTCCGCTCGTTTTCCAGGCGCCGCTTCAGGTTTTCCTCCCGCCGCCGCTTCTTTTCCTGTGGGAGCAGCACCACAACATTCCCTGTGGATCCCTTCCCCTGGGATTAAACCCAAACCAGCCCCTGGCCAGCCAAGTGTGAAATCTGTCATTCCAGCAGCTTTTCCACCCCGGCTGAGGCTGGAATTGACCCAGGGAGTTTATTCCGAGTCAGTGACTTGGGGCATGTGACCGTCAGTGAGTGGATTTGGCACCAGGACAGGGAATTCTCCATCCCAGCCGCACTTTTCCTGGGCTCTGCCACAGCTCTGAGGCCGGGAAGAGGGCAGAGACAAGGGATTGTGCTCGGGAAAAACGGGAATTCTACACCTCCTGAGCCCCGTTACCTCTTTCTCCCTCTGCTTGGCTTCCTCCAGCTGCCGTGCCAGATCCCGGACCAGCTTCCTCTCCTGCCTCTCCTTCATTTTCCGTGCCCAGGAGCTGCGCAGAGCCTTGTCCTGGATCATGTGGGAGAACCTGCGTGGGCACACCACAGCTGCTGGATCCCCAAAAACCCCGGGCTGCAGCCGGGGCCACTCCAGCTCCTCTCCAGAATTCCACGAAACTCCGCCAGCCTCGGAGCATGCCACGGCATCCTCAGCATCCCCTCCAAGTCATCCCTGCCACCTCTGGATCCCTCCTAAAGCCCAAGGATACCTCCGGAACCCCCTCACAAGCCCCCGAGAGCCCCTCAAACAATCCTGTCCCCCTCAAAATTCCCCCAGACCTCATGACTCCCCCAAAGAGCCCTTCTGGAGCCCAGAGCCCCCCAGGAACTGCCCCCCCAGTCCCCGCCTCCCTTCCCACCTCTTCTTCCCGGGATCCTTCCACACGCGTCCCGACTTGGGCTTGCCCCGCGGGATGGCTACCACCGCCTCCTGCGGTGTCTTGCCGCCTTTCCGCCGCCGCCGCCGAGCCGCGGCCGGAGCCGAGGCGGCCCCGCTGGGCCCCTCGGGGACCGCTCCTGCTCCCGGTGTCCCCCCGTTCTCCCCCTCCATGATCCACGCGGCTCCGCGGCGTCGCGGAGAGATGACGTCAGACCCGCGATCTCCGCAAAAGCGCGAAGCCAGAGCGCCTCCCTGGCCGCCATTTTTGTATTGGGCAACGCCCTCCGCGCACGGCGGCCTCCGCCATGTTTGTGTCGGGCGTGGGCGCCATGTTTGTGCCGGGCAGCATTCTTCCTGCACGGCTGCGGCCGCCATCTTTGCGCCGGGCAGCTCCGCCCACCACCGTGGCCGCCGGTACCGGGAGCGCCCGAGCTCCCCCAAACACACCCGGGGCGAGTCCCCCCCGCCCCCCGAGTCACCCCCGGAGACACGCGCGGGCTGGGCTGGGGGAGAGGCCTTTATTGGGGGCCGAACACGCTGAGGACATCCCAGGGGGCTCCGGTAGCGGGGATCCCCCCGGGATGCGGCTGCACGTGCGGGGCTGGGCCGTGGCTACAGCGCCTGGGAAAGCAAAAACAGCGAAATCCAGGGAAATCTCAGGGAGGGACACGGGAACGCCCGGACTGGGGCGGCCCTTCGGAGGAAGGAAGGGGTGGTTCAGCATTCCAGGGATTCCCAGGGATGCCCGCCTCCCTCACCAGCTGGCTGTATGTGTGCTGCCGGACCGTGTCGTATCCAAACGCCAGGACCGCCACGGCCACGCAGAATTCCAGGAGGCCGAGGATCACCAAGATGGAATCCAGGCTGTTGCTCAGCATCTGCGAGGAGGAGGACGGGAATATCCCGGGATCCACCACCCGAACAGGACCTGGATCCTTGAACACTCCACATGGAGACTGGGATTTCCCGTGCAATCCCGGCTGTCCGTACCTTGCTCTCCCTGTTGAGGCACCATTCCGGGCGGCGCTGGAGGAGCCCGGGCTTCTCGCAGCCGGGCACGATCCGGGTGATGGCCGTGCCGTGGATCCCGGTGGCCACCAGCGTGCCCAGGACAACGCCCACGCTGACCACGCAGCAGGTCTTGACCTGCGGGAAGCACCCCGTGACACGGACACCGGGAAGGGCCGCTTCCCACATGGATCCTTCAACCGGGATCTGAGATCTCCCGGAGAAGCTGCCCAGTTTTGTCCCACTCATCCCCGCAGTGATTCCAAAGGCCATGAGGGCCTCCTGGACCTTTCATCCCACAGTGACTCCAAGGCCATGAGGGACTCCTGGACCTTTCATCCCACAGTGACTCCAAAGCCATGAGGGCCTCCTGGGCCTTTCATCCCTGGATCACACAGTGACCCCAACCCCCATCCTGTGCTCCATGTGGGAGAGCCGGGCACTTCCCAAGGGGGAGACTGGCCTGTGGATCCCATGGGATGAATCCAGGAGGGGTCCCAGCAGCTGCTGGAGGGGAGATAAGGAATGGGGGGACACGTTGCCCCTCCCAGCCTGGATCTTACCAGCGCAGGGCTGTCTCTCCTTTCACTTTCCACCAGCAAGGAGCCCGAGACCAGGAGCTACTTGGAAAACAGCGGGAATTGGTGTCAGCAGCAAGGAACCCTTCCCTGGCACCTTTCCTGGTGTCCCTCCAGCTGGGAATTGGGGTTCAGGGATGCACAAACACCCCAGAATGTGGGAGGGGGATGGTCAGTGGAGACCTGGTGACCCTGGGATATTGTCCCCAGTCCATCAGGATTTCCCTCAGATTCCCATGTCCTCATCCCAACTTACCAGGATCCCCAGCCAGAAGAGGATCCCGCTGGCCACAGGGAGGGAAGGGTTACTGTGCTCCGACAGCGTCAGGATGAGCCCGAAGCAGATGTGGACAATTCCAGTGAAGATGTGGATGGTCTGGGGAAGGATGAGGGAGACACATCCCACCCCAATCCCACGTCACAGTGCCGGGAAGGGACTGGGAGAGGCACCTGTCCCAGTGTCCCCTCCACCCAACCAGGGAGAATGTCCAGCAGGACAATCCCTGCGGATCCCCAATCCCTGCTGGGCCCCTGGAAGGCCATGTCTCACCCCCAACACCTTGGGATGAGCCCTCCGGAAGCCTTGTGTTTGGAATGAGGTCCTGGCAGGTGCCTGGGAGCCTGAGGCCAGCTGGGCCGCCCGGGGATCCGTGGCCGGGATCACCTCCGTGATGATCCTGACGCTGCCGGCGTCGGTCACCGTGGTGGCCGCCATGGCCTGGGAACGAGACCAGGAAGCTGAAGGAATTCCCAGGTGCCTTCCTCCTCCTCTTCCTCCTCACCGTGGTCCCTTTGCTGTCCGAAATCCCCGGGAGGTGCCGGCCAGGCAGGGACACGCTCCCGCTGCCCTTTGCTCCCTGCGGGAAGCTCGCTCACGGAATTCTCGTCAGGGCCCTCTTGCTCAACGAGGCGGCTTTGCCAATGGAGGCTCCCAAAATCCTGCACAGGAAGAGGGAGGGAGGGACAGGGAACCCCTCCCTGGGCTCTGTGGCCTTGGGAAGGGTTGGATGCTTTTCCCTCAGAATGCTCCAAGATCCCCTTTCCATCCCAAATTGTGGATGCTTTGTTTGGGAATCGCTCCTGCAATTAGCTTGGTGCCTAATGAGGTGTTCATAAGGTAACCCTGCCCACTTCCCAGGAAAAGCTTGCATTGAGACAGGGAATTTGATAAACCCCCTTATAAAGGAAATGCCTTTATTACCAGTTTTGGGAATTCTCCCTCCTCCAGTCCTGTGGGTTTGTCCCCGGTGAGGACACGCAGGAGGGATTCAGGGATCTCTGGCTATTGGGAGTCAGAGGGAAAGGAGATGCTGTTATTTATGATGGGAAATGGGAGCTCAGGCTGGGAATGGAGCCACCACACACGGCAAGGGGATCCCGAGGGATTCAGAGGCCCCTTCCTGCCTCCATCCCTCCCCTCTTCCCAGAAAACAGCCATGTCCTTTTCTCCAGGAGCATTGGGACACTGAGGAGCCCCCAGGTTTCCTGGATGTTTGATGTGTACAGTGCGGGAATTTCTTGGTGGAACGGGAATTTTTAGGTCCAGGATTCTGGCATCACCCTCTCTCTCTGCCTGGGAAAGGACAGGACCCTCCAGGTGACGATTTCAGGAGCAGGTGGAGCAACTTCTGGAAGTTTTTTCCTTCTCTCTGGCTCTAGAGGGAGCTGAGAGGCCGCGTTTGGAAGCGTCGCGCTTCCAGAGCTCAGGAGCGGCTTCCAGCCCTGGGGCCGGCTGGGAACAACCTGGGCTGGTGGGACACGTCCCGTCCCATGGCAGGGGGAGTGGAACTGGATGATCCTTAAGGTTCCTTCCACCCCAAACCATTCCAGGATTCTGCGCCCTCCCCATGCTCCCACACACCAGGGAACGGGACACCCCCTCCAAACCGCTCCAAATCATATCCCAAAAAAAGAGCTGGAAGAACATGGCATTCCTCCATCCCACCCATGACCTTCCTCCATCCTGCATCCCTGATGGAAGCCTGCACTTGGCCTTGTAAAGGGCTGCATCTGGCAGCACGGCTTTCCAGGAAAAACATGGACATGGATGAGATTCAGCCTCTTCATCACATTCCTGATGCCTCAGAGCCTTTAATTCCTGCTGGTGCCTCATCCCTCTCAACACTCCAATCCTAACAATCCCAGGGATCTCGTTCCAGCCCCAGGAAGGAACACTTGAGCCCCCGTGGAAATTCTGGGATCCCCTCTTTAGCCTTTAGGCAGCCGGGGTATTCTCCACCATTATCCACGGCTCACATTCCCAGCCAAAGCCACCCTACACGGTGGATTTCCTCCCAAATCCGCCTTTCCAGATTCCTACAGCATTCCTGAAGTTCCAGCCTTGCAGCCAGAAACAGCCGTGACTGCTCTCAGCCCCAAAACCCCACTTTCCGAGTGGGTGATCCATGGAAAAAGCGCTTTCCCCCTTCCTAAATAAACCCAGGTCCAGCTGGGGATGGCAGGAGCCCAAGGTAGGATGTCAGGATTTGTTTTGGAAGCAGATTCCAGAGGAGGTGAAGCTTTGAAGCAGATGCAAGGAAGCAGCAGGGCCGGGTGGTGGAGCTTTCCAACCTTTTCTTTGCAGGAATTTTTGGCTTTGTAGATATATACAACACATTCCTTGGATTTTAATGTTCATTTTCCTATTTTCTAGGACAAGTTTTGGATGGGGGAAGCCTGACTGGATGCTCAGGGGGGATCAGCGAGACCCTCCCAAATTCCCTCCCACCAGCACAGGACAAAATTTACGAGCCTGGTGGAACCAAAATTTTTTCCAACCCCAAAAATCCATGAGTTTTTTTCCAAAGAAAATAGATTACAATGGAGAAAAGCTCTCCAAAGAAACTTGCTGCTTCCTGGGACAAACTTTATATCCCCATAAAAATACCAAAAGTCAACATTTTGCTGTGCTTCCAGGTGTTTCTGCTTCCCACAGGGCTCTTTCCCTATTGATTCCAGAAGGAAAGTCATGTTTTCTGGGAAAGGTTTCAGGTTTTTTGGCTTTAAACATCCCAGTGTCCATCCTAGATTAGGGAATCTGGAACAAGAAGCAGGCAGGAGGCTGGGGGGGGTGCATTGCTGCCTGCTGGGGTGATCCATACCTGGCATTTGGGACACGGTGACATTGCTCCCAAACCCCGTCCCAGATGTGTCCATCACCCCCTGCACGTGACGTTCCAGCCTTTCATCTGCTCATTCCCAGGAAAACTCCTGAGGCTGCAGAAAAGTTCCAGAAAACTTCTCCAAGGCTTCACCGGCATCGACTTCCACTGGCAATCCTGGAATGGGACCTTAAACACTTCCAGGCATGGGGCAGCTACAATTTCCCTGGGAAATCCATTCCAGCACCTCGCCAGCCTGGCAGGGAAAAATTTCTTCCCAGTATCCCATCTAAACCCACCCCCTGGCAGTGGGAAGCCATTCCCCCTTGTCCTGGCACTCCAGGCTCTTTTCTGAAGTCCCTCTCCAGCTCTCTTGGGGCACTTTTTGGTGCTGGAAGAGTTGCCAAGGTCTCCCTGAATCCTTCTCTTCCCAAGGCGGAAGAGCCATTGGGAGACCCCAGTTCACCTCACAGTTCCCCTTTCCAGCTCCTCCAAGGGTTTTGGTTTTCCTTAGGGATCATCTCCAGCAGGGACACAAAACTCTGTGGTCCCTGTCACCTGCTATTCCCAACTCATGGAAGTCTCCACTCCCCCTAGATCTGCAAATTCCCACCTAAAAATAAAAATATATTAAAAACCCCCACATTCCCATAGAGCCTTCAACACTTATTCCAGCATTTTCAGGGAAAGCCGCATCTGAACACTGGGATACTCCAGGAAAACAGACCCTGATGCCAGTGGAAGAGGAGGAAGCCTCCTTTCCCAGGAAACACCACACTGGGAAAGCACAGAGCTTGGATGGGAGGCAGGGTGGCTTCGTGGTGGTCCCGGTGGAGCCAGGAGAGGTCGGGATGCTCCGGAGCCGCAGGCGAGGAGCCGGGGCTGTAATGGGCTGTGGCCACGGGCTGAGCAGAGGCAGCCTGTTCATCCTGCTCCCCAAATCCCTGGGGCTTTTCCTACTGATCGGGCTCATTATTTTTTCAGAGCCGGGAACAGAAATAACTGACAGGGAGTGAATAATCCATGAGGCTTTGGCTGAGCAGCGGAGCATTGTCAGGGAGCGTGGAAAGGAGAAGGAAAACACTGAAGTCACCCCAAAACCTAAGGGAATGTTCAAGGAGGAGGTCACTGATCCCACTCTGGCACTGGAAGGGAAATTTGGGCTGGATCCTGTCCCCAGAAATTAAGAGGATCCTCCCCCAGAGCACTGGGAATTCATCCAGGATGTTCCCACCCGTTGGAAAATCAACACTGGGGTCTCTTTCCTCACCTCCATCCCACCTTTCGACTTCCATGAGCTTGGGATGCTCCTTAAATAATTTGATGTCGCTGGATGCTCATCACCACCTCATTAAATCCACCAGCATTCCCCCAGGTGCTGGATATTTGAGGGTGGAGCCTTAAATGAGCTTGTCAGGAGCTGACAAACCTGGTCCTGTTCAAAATGATCCCAGAGCCCTTTTCCTTCCCTGAAAATAAAGAAATTTTTAGGAATTGCTGCGTGGATAAGGTTTGGGAGCACCCCTCATCTCCATTCCCGCCATCCAGGATTGTGGGAACAGGGAGCACATGACACCGGTGTCCCCATGTCACCTCCCAGAGCAGCTCCAGCCCCGGGGCAGCTTCTCCGGTGGCGGAACAACCGGGATGTGCTGGCGTCACCGGCATCGCCGCCGGCTGTCCGGCTGCTCCAGCCCAGCTAAATATAGCAAACTGGCTGGAATGGGCGGGGAGGGGGGGCTTGGGGAGCAGAATTCCCTCGGGAGACCAAGTACCCTGGTTTAGAGGGCGGAATTCCAGCAGGAGAGGGGATTAGAGGGGCAGAATTCCCCTAGGTGAGCACGTTCTAAGGGGTTTATGGGGACAGAATTCCCTCAGAATCAGGTACTGGGGTTTAGGAGGATGGAACTCCTAAACCCTCGGGAGAGGGGTTTTGAGGGGCAGAATTCCCTCAGGACAGGGGTTTTGAGGGGCAGAATTCCCTCGGGACAGGGGTCCTGAGGGGCAGAATTCCCTTGGGAGAGCAGGCACCTGGAGTTTAGAGGAGTGAAATACCCTTGGGAGCAGGTGCCAGGAGTTTAGGGGAGCAGAATTCCTCTCCAGGAAAGCAAGGGGGTACCAGGAGTTCAGGGGAGTAGAATTCCCTCAGGAATTCTCTCCTCAGGAGAGAGCAAGTATCCCTAGATCAGGAGGAGCCTCTTTGCTGAGGGGCAGCAGCTCCGTGAGGGGGAAGTGTAGCTCCCAAGTTGAAAATTCCCAAATTCAGGAGACACAAGCCCGGAGAGAGCATTTATTCCCAAGAGAAAATGAAGCCAACAGGGGACGAGCCGAGGTAGATGCTCCGGTGACCCGCCCAGCTCCCAGCACACCTTGGGGTCACTCCAAACCACCAGGAATTCCTGAACCCCAACATGAGCGAACCCCAGCATCCCACCAGGGATTTACAGGCAGGAATTGCCCAAGATTTCCCCCTTGGAGAAGCCCCTTCCCATAGCAGCCAGCAAGTGGAGCCCCTCAGACCAGGCCCAGGGGCAGAGGGGCAGGGAATTTGGGGGTGTCCCTGGCTTTTGGGGGGGACCAGCACATCCCAGCCAGCAGCACAGTGGGAGGAGGATGCCGTAGCCCTGGGATTTAGGAGCGATGGAGGCAGGATCCCATTCCAACAGCCTCGGTGTCAGACTTCAGGAGCAGCCAGCTGCAAAGAGACCAGCAGGTGTTTTGGAAAGGGGGCAGGATTTGGGGGGACCCCACCCCCAACACCCACCACCCACGGGGGTTTGGGATCTCCTCCCCGTTCTCAGAGCAGAGGGATGGATGCTCCGGGATGCTCCCTGAGGATTGGGGTGGGAAGTTTTCCCAGGGAGGGGACAGTGATGACAGTAGGTTGGGGGCTGCCATCCCAGGAGCCATCCCAGTGCTGACTCTGCTCCTAGCCAGGCTATTCCTGGGATCACCTCGCTGTAGCTGGGAGGCTGAGGCAGCTCCGCCGGTGGCGCGGCCAGATCCACACGGGTGGCACTGGGGACGATCAGCATGGCCTGGGAAACACCAGGATTATGGGAGACACTGGGATCATGGCATGCAGTTTTTGGGATCCATCCCTGCCACCCACTCATCTTACCTCGTTGGAGCTGAGGCGGGTGGCCCGGCACCAGAAATTGGCGGTGGCCACGGCGATGCAGAATTCCAGGATGGTGAAGATGAGCAGCACGATGGAAATCCCATTCCCTGCGAGCTCCAGGATGGGGAAAACCCCATCAGCACCCCCACCCAGCAGCGCCCAGGAGGATGAATCCCACACAGGGCAGCATTCTGTGGCTCCCCCTTCCTCTCTCCCTCTGCATCCCCAGCTCCAAGGTCTCACTCCAAGCCCTCCATGCCGCCGTTTTTATGGCTCATGGACGCTTCCAGGGGGTGACTCATCTCCCGAGGTACCAGCCGAAAATAGGTCGCGCCGGCAGAGGAGAAACCGCCACCCCAACAGGGATTTGGGAAAGGACACAACACCCCTTGAGGGCTGGAGAAAAGGCCCCAGGGGAATTCCCAAGGGCAGGAATTCCGCCAAGTGGGATTTTACCAGGACGAGATAGCTGTAGTAGTTGAAGCTGGAGCGGTAGAGCCCGTTGAGGTTGAGGTCCACGATGAAGGCCACGATTCCCAGGAGCGCAAAGATGGCACTGATGACGTTCATGGTCTGGCTGCCCTTCACCTGTGGGCACCCAGGGGGTTTGGGGGAGGCTGGCAGATGCCCCCCCCCCCCGCCCCAAAACACCAGGGGGACACCTCGCCCACCCCATGGACACCTGACCATTCCCAGCGGGCTCCCGGGAAAACTCACCGCGCATTCCGTGGGGCTCTTCTCAGCGCCGATGGAGAGGCACCCGGAGATGATGAACTGCAGCAGGAGAGAGGGGGCTCAGCTGGCGCTGAGGGCACCCCAAGCACCCCAAACCTGCCCAGAGGTGGCACTAACAGGGCACAGGGGACACTGTGACCCCCCTGCCCTTGTTTTCCAGAGGCCTCGGGAGCCGCAGGTGCATCATTCCCGGTGGGCATCCCTTCCAAAGGGTGTCCCACCTGCTGGCATCCCCCCCAGCAGGATTCCCTTCCCCGTGGGCATTGTTCTCTGGTGAGCTTCCCTTCCTGGTGGGCATCCCACCCCCCTAGGCATTCTTTTCCCGGTGGGAATCCCTTCCCAGCCCCCGGCACGCACCGACACGCCGCCCAGGAAAGGGATCTCTCCAATGACGAAGACCGAGGTGTAGACATTGGTGAGCGTGGTCAGGACGATCCCGAAGCCGATGTGCAGGAATCCCGTCATAATCTGGATGGTCTGGAAGAGAGGGATGGGAGGGAATGGGGTCAACTCAATCCCCCTGCCCACAGAGCCACCCTGGGGATGGGGGATGCCTTAGTCCCAGCGCCTCTCCAGAGACGCAGCACCCCCTGAGGGATCAGCAGGAATCCCCCGGGAAGGGGCTGAGGGGGGATTTTCCAAGCGTTTCTCCCCCCGACCCCCCCAGACTCACCCCCATGACGCGGTTCTTGCCCTTGGGGAGGGTCTCCGCCGTGTACATGACGGCGCGGCTGCCCAGCCGGAGGCTCCCCATGCCCTGCATGAGGAGAGCGGGGGGCACCGGGACCCCCCGGAGCAGCCCCGCTCCCCACCGGGGCCGCCCCCGCCCCACCCCGCCAGAACCCGCGCCCATTGGCTGAGCGCCGTGACGTCAGCGGCTGCGGCATCCCCCCGGGGGCACCGCCCAGCCCAGGGGGGACACGGGGGGATGGAGGGGACAGCCCCCCAAAACACGGGGAGGGGCGGGAAGTAGGGCTGCGCGGGCTGGGAAGATGCTCCGCGGGGTCCCCTGGCCCGGTGGGGCAATTCCCAGTGTCGCCCCCCCTGTTCCGGGCACAGCTCCAGGACACCGTGTTCCCCCCGCCGGGAAGAGCTGCTCATCCCAAACCCTCAGGCAAGGGAGTTAAGGAAATCGGGGTGCCAGCCCCCCCCAAAAGCCCCCCTCTCCCCAAGGTGCGTGTCCCCTCCTCATTCCCCCTCCTTCCAGCTCCACACGTGTTTACAGCAGCGCAGAAAGGAGAAAAAAAAATAGAGAGATTCGGGAAAAAAATTTAAAAAAAAAAAAAAAAAGAGAAAGAAAAAAAAAAAAAGAAAATAAAACCCAAAACCACCCCGCAGCGGATTCCTGGAAGAAAAATCCATCAAGGGCCATTAGGCTCCTGCGGCTCCTCCCCGCAGAGCGGGGGCACGGGCGGGGGCAGGGGCGGCACCCAGCACGGAGCTGGGCACTGCCCAGGCGTGATTTCCCCTGGATCTCCTTCCCCAGGAAGGGGTGGGCCTGAATATCCCGGACCCCTGTTGCAGGAGGGGAGGAGTACAGGGGATCCCCCACACTTGCCCCCCAAACTGCCTTCATTCCCCATTTTTAGCGTGTCCAGCCCCGAGGAGAAGGAGCCAAGAGCTCCAGGCAGAGGATTAAACCTGAAATGAGGGAATAATGAACACCCTGGGAATGAGAGGGACACACGATACCACCCTGCACCCCAAAATTCACAGAGGACACCCGTGTATCCCATCCTGATCCGGACAACACCACACCCCCCTGCTTGGATCCTTCACGGACAGATCCCATCATGGAGTTTGCAGGGAGGCTCAGAGCTGCAGATCCTGAGAGGGAACCCCCATTTCCCTGGAGCAGGAACATTCCACAGGGAGGGAGAAGGGCCTGCTGACACAGCCACGAGCCCTCTGGCCAAGTGGGGGAAATTCCCGTGCTGGATGTGGCAGGAAGAAGTGGGATTGGGGCTGGGGGTGTCACCCAGCTCAGAGCAGGTGACAGAAAACCCATGGGGCTGACAGGGTCCCCTCACTGCCACCCTACACCCATCAAGGACACGTGGTGTCCCCATTCCTCACCTGCAGGGTGGTCCCCAGCTGAACAGGGGCTGCTCTGGGTGGTGTCCATCCCTGTCAGCTCCAGGTGGTGCCATCATCCCTGTCCCATCCCTGCCAGCGTGGGTCACCCCACAGCCAGACCCCAGGACAGTGGCCAGCACTGAGAGCCACACACGGCCACTGGTGACAGAGGCTGGCGTGGCAAGCACACTCAGGGCTATGACACAGATTTGGGGATCCCCATGGTCCTTTTCCCCAGGGAGGGCAGCCAGGTCCTCCAAAACCCCCTCACCCCGTGCAGGGCTAGGACTGCAAGGAGCAGCACAAAGCACATTCCCCTGGGAGCCTCCATGGATAGGGATGGAAAAAAAGAGAGGACCGGCCCCAGCAATGGCTTTAACACCTGAAGGAGGGTGCTGGCTGTGGGTGTCCCAGTGGGAAGCTGGGTGGAGCAGGCCTGCCCCTTGCACCCACCTGGGGCTCATTTTCAGTCTCCCAGGGATTTCACCCTGGACTCTCATCCCACCTTTCCCAGCAGGAAACACGGAAAGTCCGTGAGGAGGGCAAGCCCTGCTCAGCAGCAGCCAAAGCACCCATGTGTGATCCTCAGTGTCCCTGTCCTGAATCCAAAGCCAGCTACTGGGAAGGAAGGAACCCTCTTGTCGCAGCTGAGATGGCCACGATATGCAGAGCGTCACCACACAATTTCAGAAGGCTTCAAGCCACGCACAGCAAGACCATTCTACTTCAGAAGGCTTCAGGCACCTGCCCATCCAGAGTAACATCCCATCACTTCAGAAGGCTTCAGGCACCTGCCCACGCTGTTCCTTAGCCCAGCCTTTTATCCCCTCAGGTTGATGCAGTGCACCTGTGTGCCCTCTGCTCCCTTTGGTGTTGGTCAGTGCCCCTGGGCACTCCATGGCTCACTGCTGTCAGTGCTGCTCACAGCTGTGCCCTTGGGGATGAGGATCAGTCACACTCCCAATTCCCAAACCGTGTGCCTACAGCCCATCCCAGCCCAAACCCAGTTCTTGGGGGAAATGCTGATTTATTTAAAACAGAGCATCCTCAGAAGTATCTGAGCTGCCAGCAGGGGCCTCATGCTGCTTGGAGGAGACCGCTGGAGATGGGGGAACTCCAGCTCCCGTTGCCTGTGGAGGATCTTCTCCGACTCGGAGTGACTCGGCCGCCCTGCCGTGCTGTGGGAGCTGTGGATGGGGTGCCAGTGGCTCCAGGACGCTTCCTGCTGTGCCGCCTGCCGCTGGGAACTCCTCACGGGAGCGGGCTGGGCTCCCAGTTTCACTTCCAGGCTCTTCTTGGCCACGTGCATCCTCAGGGCCGAGCGGGCCCCGCTGATATCCACAGATCCGGCGGGGCTCGGCGAGCTGTCCGAGGCCTCCTCCCCATCCGGGGTCTGGCAGCTCCCGCTGGGGCTCTCGGAGCCGGGGAAGCTCTCGGAGGAAGGGGGCGACGCCTCCCCCAGCTCCAGCTGCTCCTGGGAACGCCTCACCGCCAGGGGCTGGGCTCTCAGCTTCACTTCCAGGCTCTTCCTGGCCACGTGGAGCCTCAGGGACGAGCAGTTTCCCCTCAAGCCCTCAGCTGCGAGGGAGCAGCGGGATCCGTCCACGAGCTCTTCTCCAGCCGGAGCGCGGCAGCTCTCGCCCAGGCTCCGGCAGGGATGGAAGCTCCCATGGAAGCAGGAGCTGGAGGAGGCGCAGCAGGGCAGGTGGCCTCGCTCCAGCAGCTGCTCCAGGTCCTCCCACCACAGCTGCCACATCTCCGAGTCCCGCGGGAAGGACACCTCGGGCCACAGCGGCGTCAGCAGGCCCTGCAGCTCCCGGGCCGCCGTCACGCAGGGGGTGCAGCAGGGCCCGCAGCGGCAGGGGATGTACGGGGGGCTCTCCGGGGCAGCCGGGCCCTGGGGAGGGGTCTCCTCAGCCCGGGGGGAACCGGGAGCCCCCGGGGCCGCTCGGCAGCGCCGCGAGGCCCCGGCCCGGCTCCCGGGGCGCTTCCGCGCCTTCCAAATGCGGGCGGCCAGCAGGACGGCCGTAGTGGCCACCAGCAGGACAAGCGTGGGGAGCAGGAAACTCATGGCTTCATCTGTGTCCCATCGTGGCCACACTGGGAGCCAGGGGTGGTGGCACGCGTCCTGTAGAGACACCGTGCCGATGTCACAGTGCTGCGGGGGGGACACCTGTGTGACATCACAGCCCCGCCTCGCCCCAGCGCTCACCCCGTTTGTGACGTCACGGCCCCGGATCGCCCATCCCGAATCCATACCCAGCGCCGTGCCAGCTACTGGGAAGAATATGAAACCTATCCCCATAAACTCAGCACATCAGCCCAGCACAGAGGCTGGGAGCACATCCAGGCCACTTCCAGCACCTCCCTCGGGACCCTCGGGGGTGTCCCCCGCCGGTGACCCCCGCCTGGTTCGGGGCTGGGAATGGAATGCCTCGCGTTTCCCTCCGGAACTAATGTTCCCGCCGCGTTTCCCGGCCGGACCGCGGGCGGGGCGTGTTTGAGGACGGACCAATGGCGGCGCCCTTGCGGCACTTCCGGCGTGTCCCGGCGATGTGGCGATGGCGGCTCCCGGGGCCGCTCCGGGCCGGGGGAGGTCAGGGGGCTGGGTGGGACACCCGGCTGGGCTGTGGTGGCTTGGGGAGGATCCTGAGAGCGGGAAGGGGAGGCCCCGCGGGGTCCCTCCTCCCCTCCCGGCCCTGCCCGAGACCCCCCGCTCTGTCCCGCAGGTCCCGGCGGCGTCGCGGTTCCCCGAGCGGGGCTCAAGAAGTGGACGCTGCCCCCGGATTACAGCGGTGAGGGGGAAGGACGGCGGGAGATCCCCGTCAGGGGGGGCGGGGGCACTCCCCAGGGAGTTCCCGGAGATCCCGGGGATCCTGATCCTGGCGTTCCCCGGCAGGGATCACCATCCCCGAGAAGCCGAAGCTGAAGTTCATGGACAAGGTGCCGGCGGTGCCCAAGGTCCGGCGGGAGCCCCGGCGGCTCCGTGACATCCGCGGCCCGTCCCAGGTGGCCACCGACTTCACGGAGGGGCAGTACGGGATCCTGGTGAGCGGGAAGAGGCACGGAACGGATCGGGGGGGATTATTCCAGAGGCCGGGATTGCGTGTCCCTGAGCCGTCCCACCGTGTCCCCCCACAGGCTTTGGGCGGGGGGTACCTGCACTGGGGCCACTTCGAGATGATCCGCCTGACCATCGGGCGCAGCATCGACCCCAAATCCATGTTCGCCGTGTGGCGCGTGCCCGCCCCCTACAAGCCGGTGACGAGGAAGAGCCTGGGACACCGGATGGGCGGCGGGAAGGGCCCCATCGACCGCTACGTGACGGCGGTGAGGAGCGGCAGGCTGGTGGTGGAGGTGGGCGGGCGCTGCGAGTTCGAGGAGGTGCAGCCCTTCCTGAGCCGCGTGGCGCAGAAGCTGCCATTCCCGGCCGCGGCCGTCAGCCGGGACAGCCTGCGGGAGATGCGGCGGGAGGAGGAGCGCAGGAGGCTGGACAACCAAAACCCCTGGACTTTCGAGCGCGTGGTGACCTCCAACATGTTGGGCATGAGGAAGTACCTGAGCCCCTACGACCTGCGGCTCAAGGGACGCTACTGGGGCAAGTTTTTCCTGAAGCACAGAGTGTGAGGAGCGGCTGCACGGGATTAAACTTTTCCACGAGAGCCTGGAGTGGGTTTTGGAGCTGGGAATGCAGGGCTGGGGGACAAATGGATCAGGGTTTGAAGCACGAGGATCTCTGTCCTGAAGTGGATTTTAGGGCTGGGAGCATCCTGAGGATGGATCAGGGTTTGGGGGATGAGCATCTTCATCCCAGGGTGGGGTGTGGAGCTGGGAGACAAATGGATCAGGGTTTGAAGCACAAGGCTCTCTGTCCTGAAGTGGATTTTAGGGCTAGGAGCATCCTGAGGATGGATCAGGGTTTGGGGGATGAGGATCTTCATCCCAGGGTGGGGTGTGGAGCTGGGAGACAAATGGATCAGGGTTTGAAGCATGAGGCTCTGTCCTGAAGTGGATTTTAGGGCTAGGAGCATCCTGAGGATGGATCAGGGTTTGGGGGATGAGGATCTTCATCCCAGGGTGGGGTGTGGAGCTGGGAGACAAATGGATCAGGGTTTGAAGCATGAGGCTCTGTCCTGAAGTGGATTTTAGGGCTAGGAGCATCCTGAGGATGGATCAGGGTTTGGGGGATGAGGATCTTCATCCCAGGGTGGGGTGTGGAGCTGGGAGACAAATGGATCAGGGTTTGAAGCATGAGGCTCTGTCCTGAAGTGGATTTTAGGGCTAGGAGCATCCTGAGGATGGATCAGGGTTTGGGGGATGAGGATCTTCATCCCAGGGTGGGGTGTGGAGCTGGGAGACAAATGGATCAGGGTTTGAAGCATGAGGCTCTGTCCTGAAGTGGATTTTAGGGCTAGGAGCATCCTGAGGATGGATCAGGGTTTGGGGGATGAGGATCTTCATCCCAGGGTGGGGTGTGGAGCTGGGAGACAAATGGATCAGGGTTTGAAGCATGAGGCTCTGTCCTGAAGTGGATTTTAGGGCTAGGAGCATCCTGAGGATGGATCAGGGTTTGGGGGATGAGGATCTTCATCCCAGGGTGGGGTGTGGAGCTGGGAGACAAATGGATCAGGGTTTGAAGCATGAGGCTCTGTCCTGAAGTGGATTTTAGGGCTAGGAGCATCCTGAGGATGGATCAGGGTTTGGGGGATGAGGATCTTCATCCCAGGGTGGGGTGTGGAGCTGGGAGACAAATGGATCAGGGTTTGAAGCATGAGGCTCTGTCCTGAAGTGGATTTTAGGGCTAGGAGCATCCTGAGGATGGATCAGGGTTTGGGGGATGAGGATCTTCATCCCAGGGTGGGGTGTGGAGCTGGGAGACAAATGGATCAGGGTTTGAAGCATGAGGCTCTGTCCTGAAGTGGATTTTAGGGCTAGGAGCATCCTGAGGATGGATCAGGGTTTGGGGGATGAGGATCTTCATCCCAGGGTGGGGTGTGGAGCTGGGAGACAAATGGATCAGGGTTTGAAGCATGAGGCTCTGTCCTGAAGTGGATTTTAGGGCTAGGAGCATCCTGAGGATGGATCAGGGTTTGGGGGATGAGGATCTTCATCCCAGGGTGGGGTGTGGAGCTGGGAGACAAATGGATCAGGGTTTGAAGCACAAGGCTCTCTGTCCTGAAGTGGAGTTTAGGGCTGGGAGCATCCTGAGGGATCCATGGATCAGGTTGCAGCCAGGAGGCAGAGTGTGGGTGAGCTCTTTATTGAGGAGGAAGGCTCCAGCATGGGTGGCTGCACATCCAAGGAGCTCCAAGCACTGGGAGAGGCTCCTCCGGCCGTCCCGGCAAGGCAGAGCCCTGTGTCCCCCCAGAGGGACACGGCCCCTCCGGCCGCTCCGTGCCACCCAGGAGGGGCTGCTTGTCACAGCGGCCACCGACTGTCACCCGAGTGGAGGAGGAGGAGCAGGGAGCTCGGCGCTGGGAGGGCAGCAGGGAGCGCAGTGGGTGGGCTCCGCTCCTCCAGGGACACGTGGGATGTCCTCGGGGCTCCGGGGATCAGGGCTTGGCCGGGGTGTCTCCCGTGGATCATCCGGGCAGGGGGCCAGGAGGGGGAAAGGCCACCTGTGACAGGGAGGAGGATGAGGTGACACTCAGGAAGGGGACGTGGCTCCCGGTGCTGTCACCATGCCCATCCCTCCCCAGTGTGGCAGCCCAGGGACACTCAGGGCGAATCCAACCCCGGCAAGGTCCGAACCCGCTCCCTGGGATTGGGGGGTGCCAGGGAGCCCCTGTGCCCCCCCCAGCCCTGTCCCTGTCACCTGGAGGGCAGTGGGTGGGGGGCTCAGGCGAAGATGCTCGCGATGCTGGATGCCAGGATGATGACGAGGATGATGCAGCACAACATGATCATGATCTTCTTCTGCTCGGGGAGACAGGGAATGTGAGGCAGGGACACAGCCGGGGAGGGGACAGGGACAGGGAATGGGCTGGGGAGGAGGACAGGGGATGAGGATCGGGCTGGGGAGGGAGCAAGGAGTGGGGAGTGGGACAGCAAGGATAGGGGCAGGGCAGTGGGGAGAAAGGACAGAGATAGGGCAAGGGGCTAGGGAAGGGGGCAGGGCAGGTGTGAGCTGGTTCTGTGTGGCACAGGGAGGTGACAGTGCCAGCGTGTCCTGGGACAGGTGACCAAACACCGTGACTTACCCAAAAACTTGGTGGGGGGGGGGGGCAGTCTGGACAGGGCCCGGGAGCTGGGGGTGTCCCCAGCCCCGCGCTTCCTCCTCGTGTCCTGCAGCACCGGGAAACGGGGCCGGTCCAGCCCCCAGATCCCCGGGCACCGGGAGCCGAGCCGGAGCCGTGCCGGCGGCTTTGGGTGTTCCCGGTGCCAGCACGGAGAGGAGGCGCAAGGCGGGATCAGCGGGATTTTATTACAGCGGGAGTTAAATATCCATGATCAACACATCCTCCCGCCCGGACATCAAAGCCACGAGGGGACAGGGACCCCGACGGCTCCGTCTGTCACAGCACGGTGACAAGAAACCACGCTGGTGCCGCCAAACCCCGCGTCCTTTCCCTATTCCCGCCCTCATTCCACCGGGATGCCCGCGCGGGTGAGCGTCCGGCCCTCGGATTTGTGTCCTTGTCACTCCTCGCTGGGGCTGAGGCACCAGTGGCCGCGTCCCCACGGACGGAATCCTGTCCCCTTCCATGGGGACATGAGGGGCAGATCCCAGGGAAAGCAGGACGGGCGGGAAAGGCGGCGGTGCTGGAGCCCGCGGCGGGAGCCGGGACTCGAGGGCTGGGAGCAGCAGGTCCGGGAGGAGCAGGGAGAGGAGGGGTCCAGGATCAGAGCCGGGGAGGATCCCGCCGGGGGGTGACATCGCTGGGATGCTCGGGAGCGTCTGGAGGAGGGAAAGGGGAGCTGGAGGAAAGGGAACGGGGACTGCAGCAGGAAGGAGGGAGCAGGGATGGCAGAGACGGATGTGGGCAAGAGACAAAATCCAGAGCCCGGAGCAACACGGACCCCCAAAGAACACCTCAAGCACCGCAAACCCCCAGAAATGCAGACCCCAAACAGCACAGACCCCTGAGCACCAGAGACTCCTGAACATCACAGACACCTGAGCACTGCAGACCCCCAAAAACACAGACCCCAGAGCACCAGAGACCCCCAACATTGCAGACCCCCAACATTGCAGACCCCCAGCAATGCAGACCTGCAATCACCAAACCCAGAACGCAGCGTCCCCAGCCCCCTAACAGCCCCAAATCCCAAAGCACTGCAGCCCCCAAAGCAGGAGATGGCACTGGGATCCCCCATGGCTCTGTGTCCCCACAGCAGGGGTCCCCTGCCCCCCAACACTTACAGACCCCCGCCCCAGGGGCTATTTCATGTTCAGCCCCACCGAGAGTCCAATGATGAGGGCAACTGTCCCCAGCAAGAGCACGGCCACTGCCACCAAAATCAGCAGCTTCTGGGGGAACAGGGGCGAGTCGGGGATGGTGACACCTGTCCCTTGGTGGGAGGGGGACACGAGGGCACCGAGGTGCTGCAGAGCCCTGGGGATGGGGCAGGAGGGGCTGAGTCCTCACCAGCTCATCACACCTGAGGGTGGGAGGGGGCTCAGGGGTGGCAGTGGGACAGAGAGGGACAGAGCTGCCAACCTCCCATAGGGTCACTGGGAGGAGGTGGGAGTTATTTGGGTCAGCTGAGGGATATGAGGGGTGGCTGAGGGGGATAGGAGATGGCTGAGGGAAATAAAGGGATCTCAGGGCTGCTGGAGGATATGGGGAGGTGCTGGGAACACTGGGATGTGAAGGCACTATGAGGGCCAGAGGGGATAGCACTGGGGGTACCTCTGGGGTGCAGGGGGCTACAGAGGGGACACTGGGGGGTGCAGAGGGCACACTGGGGGCTATGCAGGGGACAAGGGGCTGTCGGTCTGTCTCACCCTCCTGGCCTCACTTTGGTACTTCACAGCCTTTTTGGTGTCGGCCACGGCCCGTTCCACGAATCCCACGGACTGGTCCATGTTGTTCTCTATGCGGTCGATCATGGCTCCCTACGGAGCACCCGGGGGACACAGAGAAGTGGGGGGACACTGAGAGCACCCCGGGGTGCTGGCACCCACCCACCTGGCGCGCCTGGCCCCGGCACTGGATCGTCTCCATGCTCTGCTCCACCTGCTCGGCTACGCGTTATCCAGCAGCCCACCCTGGGGGAGAAGGGACAAGGTCGGTGGGGACACGGTGACACAGCCCCACAGCACGTGGCACACCCACACACACAGGTACTCACCCATCCCCGGGGTACACAGCGGCTCCTCACGTGGCATGGGGGACAGAGAGGGGCTGAGAGAGGGGACAGCACCACCACAGGGCGGGGGACACTCCTCTGTCCCCTCCAGGCCACCACGGGGCAGTGGGTGGCTCCATGGGAACATGTGCAGTGGTCACCACCCCAGCCCATATCGCTCCATGCCTGGATCCCCCTGTGCAGGTCCCTGGGCCACTCCATGGTCCCGTGCAGGTCCCTGTGAGCCCACACTCGGGTCCCTGCTTGTCCCTGGTCACCCTGCGCATGGGTCCCTGTGCATCCCCATACGTGGGTCCCTGCTCATCCCTGTGTCCGTGTGCCCAAATCCCTCATGGCTCATGTCCATGTCCCCATACACAGGTCATCCCTGTGACCCCATGTCCTGTTCCTGCTTGTCCCCATGCTCAGGTCCCTGCTCCTCTCTGTGTCCCCATACCCAGGTCCCTGCCCGTCCCTGTGACCCCATGTCCCCACAGCCAGGTCCCTGTGTGTCCCCATGTCCCTGTGGCCAGGTCCCTGCGTGTCCCCGTACCTGATTCTCCACCAGCATGGCGATGTCCACGAACATGTCGTGGAGCTCCTTGATGCTGCTCTCCAGGCGCACGATGTCCTTGTGCCGCCCCTCGATCTCGCTCAGCGCCTGCTTCGAGATCTGCGAGTCCATGATCTGCAGGGACAGGGACACGTCAGCTGGAGGCCTGGCCCTGGGACACACCCCCGTGTCCCCCGGTGTCCCCCACGTCAGGGCTCACCCCCGAGGTGAAGATGGAGGGGTTCCCACTCTCCAGCATCTCCTCCAGCTCCTCGTCCGTCGTGTTCTTGCCGGCTGCGGGCACGTGGGGAGAGGTGGGAACAGGCCCCGCCCAGTCTGGGATAAGGGGCGGGACCTGCATGATCTGGCTCCTCCCACTTGACTAAACTTGGTCAAATGGGAGGGACCTGTTTGAGTTGGTCCCTCCCACTTTATGGAGGAGGTGGGCTTGATGCAGGGGGTGGACGGGGTCACGCACTGATTTCCAGCTGGCGCTGGATCCGGCCCTTGCTCCGCTCCCGGAAATCCACCTGCGCCTCGTTGTACTTGGTCATGACGTCCACAAACTTGCGGGACAGGACCGAGTGCTGGGGACAGGGACAGGGACGTGAGGATGGGGACGGGGACTTTGGCATGGGGACACCCAGGGCATGGTGTGGCCCTGGGGGACTGGACCTGCTCCTGGGGATGGGGACATGGAACACCCCAGGCACGGCATATCCCCATGGGCCACTTCCATGGGGGACAGGAGCGAGGACAGAGGCGTGACACTGCCCAGAGGACAGGAAGAGGTGCTGGGGGTGGGGAGGGGAAGTCAGATCAGTGACACTCAGGGCATGGCGTGTTCCTGGTCCCAGGATGGACAGGACAATGCACTGGGAGTGGGGACAGTGGCACAAAACCCAGGGGACCCTGGATGTAACATATCCCAGCACAGGGCGACGGGACAGAGTGCTGGGGACAGAGCAGAGGGACACAAAGCCTGGGATCACAGAGTGCTCTTGGGGATAGGATTGGGAGACTTGGGGACCCCTGGACATGCCACAGGGACAGGGTGGGTCCTGGGGACACTGGCTGAGGGCCGGAGCTCACCTGGGACTTGCGTATCCGGAGGTCGGCGGAGGATCGTGCCTCGTCCTGCTCGATGTTCCTCTCCATACCTGGAGAGAAACAGACCTCAACCCACCAGGAACCTTTCCCACTGCCAGCCCCCATGATCCCAGAGTCCCAGGGGGACAGGGACAGCTGTGACACGGCGGCGGGGACAGAGCCACTCACTCTTCAGTTTGTTACGGACGCTGTTGGCCATTTTCTTGATCTCTGCTGTCAGCTGCTCCAGGTCATCTTTGGTCTCTGCGGGATCACGGGTGTGAGCCACCGTGGGAATGTCCCCAGGGAGAGCCCCCGTGACCAGGGGAGGCCGTGGGGACACTGTGACAGCACTCACTCTGCTCTGGGATGGGGGCTGAGAGGATGATGCTGTAGAGCTTCTTGGCTTCCTCCACGTTCTCTGAGATCTTGTCGATGTTCTGCCGGGTCTCCTCAATCTGGGCACACCCGGGAGGATTTTGGGGGGTTAGGAGACAGCCCTACACCCCCCAGCCCCGCTCCCAGCCCTCCCTCACCTCCGAGAAGAACTCATCCATGAAGGCCGTGTTGTCCACGGCGATCTCCAGCTCCTCCTCGTCGTCCGCATCCTGCTTCTGCTGGGACACGGCGCTCAGGGGGGCCCCGTGTCCTGCCAGCGCCCCCCAGGGCCCCCCCGGGGGTGACAGGGACACGGGGGGAGTAGCCATGGGGCTGTGGTGGCACAGGGGGGGACATCTGCAGCGGGGGAGGGCAGGGGGGGCCGAGCCCAGCTCACATCTGGCCACACGTGGCTGGGAATTAAGGGATTGCTGGGCTTGGCCAGAGGGAGGGAACGGGGACAGCGATGGGATGGGCACAGGACAGGGTTTCTGTTCCAAACCGTGGCCCCACGGCAGCTCTGGGGCAGCCCTGGGGGGCACGAAGGTGGCTGGTGCCCCTCACCCTGGTGTCGTGCCCAGGCCCCCACCCATGCGCTCCCAAATCCAGCCCTTCCCAAAACCCAACCTCAGCCCTTCTGCCTCCCCTCACCCCCTCAGCTCCACCAGCACCCCGGGGGTCTTGTTGGGGTGTCCCGGAGAGGGGGACAGACCCCAGGCTGGGACCCCCCACCCCCTCCTCCTGCTGCTGGAGTAAAAATAAAATTAATCCCTTCGCTCCCCCCCGAGGGCTTTATCTGATGGCTCCATAATCCCGGTAAATCCCTGCCAAGCCTCCCTGCCATGCCTAGGGGCCCGGCCGGGAGCTGGGGGCCTGCTGGGACCCCCACGGTCCGTGGGGAGCAGGGGGAGCCCCCCAGGAGTGGGGGGAAGTGGGGCCCCAGGCGGAGCGGGAAAAGGGAGAAGGAAGTGGCGCTGGTGGCGGGAACACGGGGAACTGTGGGGGGCAGAGTGGGGAACTGTGGGCACCCCAAATCCACCGCCATCCCCACAGGACAGACACCCCCACAGGCCGGGGGGGGCTGCCCCCCCATTGCACCCCACGCCGTGGGGGGACGGACTCGGCTGGGGGGGTCACGTCACCCCAAAACTCCCACCGTGCCCCCACAGCGCACGGGGTGGCACCCCCAGTCCCCCCCAGCTGACCCCCCCGCTGTAGGGAGGCTCAGGGTCCCCCACCCGCCGTGGGGTGACCCCCGTGACACCCCACGCACACCGGGGGGGTCTCGGTGCCATCCATCCCGTGGTGTCACCACAGACTGGGGTGTCCCCGAGACCCCAGCCCTCCATGGGATGGGCTCTGAGGTCCCCCATCCCCGTGACACCCCCACGCTCTGCGGGGTGGCATTTCAGTGACATCCACCCCGTGACGTCCCCATCCACCCCAGACTCGGTTTTTGGGGTCCCCTCTCCCAGTGATGCCCCCGCCCACCACGGGGTGGGGTCTCGGGGACCCCCATCCCGGCGTCACCTTTCCCTGAGGGGCTCCCTGGGGGTGTCCCCTGTCCCCTCGCCACGCCGGGGGTCCCTCACCGCCTTGAGCTGCTCCAGCCGGTCCTTCATGGTGCCCCCGGAGGCTGGGGGGGCGCGGGGGGCTCCCCGTCCTCGCCCGGCGCAGGGATGGGCGATGTCACCCTCGGTCCTCGCCGCTCCGCCAGGCCTCCTACATCCAGGCGAGGTGGCGGGTGGCCCTGTCCCCTGTGCCTGTCCCCAAGCCCGGGGCTGTCCCTGCGCTAATCCCCAGTGACGGGCACAAGGAAGGCGCCGAGGGGAGGGACGAGGTGGAGCCGCCCCTTCACCTGGGACACGCGGGGACCCGCCGGAGGCGGCAGCTGGGGGTGGCCCCCGGCACCCCGGGAGGTGACAGAGCTGGGGGAGGATGTGGGTTTGCGGGCCATGAGCAGGCTGATCCCCCTCGGGGGTCACACGGTGAGGACGTGTCACCCCCTGCCACGTGTGGCTGCAGCGGGAGCGCGGCTGGGGACGGGGAGCACGGCTGGGGACACGGCTGGGGACGGGGAGCACGGCTGGGGACACGGCTGGGGATGGGGGTCACGGCTGGGGACACGGTTGTGGATGTGGGGCACGGCTGTGGATGTGGGGCACGGCTGGGTTCGGGGGACACGGCCGGGGGTCGAGGCTGTGCATAGGGGTCACATCTGGGGACACAGCTGGGGGCGGGAAACGGCTGTGGGGACGCGGCTGGACATGAGCAGGCATAGGGGACAGCTTGAGGACATGGCTGCAGTTAGGGGACACAACCGAGGGTCCCGGCTGGGGACGGGGGTCCCGGCTGGGGAGAGGGGACACGGCTGGGGGACATGGCTGTGGATGGGACACAGCTGGGGACAGGGCTGGGCGGGCACTGCTGGGGCTATGGATGGGGTGACATTGGCTGTGGACGGGGTGACGCTGTGGGGCATGGCACTGCGGGGGGACACACGGGTGTCACCGCTGTGCGCGGGAGAAAAAGGGACGCTGCCCCTTTAAGAAACACAAGCGAAGGGGGCGTGGTCTGTGTTGGGCGTGGTCTGCATTTGGGCACGCCCCACTCGCCCCGGTGGGTGGGACACGGGGCGGTGGCGGAGGATGACGTCATGCGGCTGCGCCCGCGGCGGCGCATGCGCGGCGGGGCCCGGGGCCTGGTCGGGCGGCGCGGAGCCTGCGGGCGGGGGGCGCCGGCGCCGCCATGTTCCGGTACCCGGTGAGCGGGGAGGGGCCGGGGGGGGCCAGGGCGGGCGGAGCCTGCGGGAGAAC